AGTATCTCATGTTGAATTTGATTTGAAGTCATCGTAGTCTGGAGTTCGATTTTCCTGAAATGTTAGTACACACAAGAGCAAATACAAATCTTCTAAAATTGTTAGGAGATAACTACACATTTGAACAATAATGTTTGGAATCATCAAAACTATACAAGTTGCAAAAATGTAAGGCATGCAAATAGCAACTATCTTAACAGTCCTCAAGTTGTACCCCTTTTTATAGCCATCCCTCTCACATTTTTTTTTCAGAAGGACTTCATCATGGCCCATGAACCACTAGCAGTGTTGGCTTGATGTGACCCGAGCGAAGAAATTTGTATTGTGGGACCCGCGAAGGTGACCGTCAGGCCACGTGATGCTACCACATGAGAAAAGAAGCAACTTTCCATCCATGAGTCCGTTTCAGCATTATGACCCCATTTTGGAAAGCTTTTTCTGTGTTGGAGAGAGCATCGATGTGCCAAAGCTAATCGGTCGGGCATGCACTGACGAATAATGCATTTTCGATCCCCTACGGTCCATTGGAATGAGGAAGCACCAAAATTACCTTTCTCCTGACATCTCCATAACTATAATTTGATACCATAAGACTACGAGTGTGATCATACCAGTACCATTACACCGGATCCCATCAGAACTCCATAGTTATGCATTCTTTGGCGAGAGTAGTATTGGGATGGGTGACCTCCTAGGAAGTTATCGTGTTGCACCACTTTTTATAACAATCCCTCTCTCTTTTTTTAGAAGCACTTTGCCACGGCCCATAAACCACTAGCAGTGTTGGCTTGCCCGACCCGAGTGATGAAATCCACATTATGGGACCCGCGAAGGTGACTGTCAGGCCTCATGATGCTGCCACATGAATAAAGAAACAACATTCTATCCAGGAGTACGTTTCAATATTATGACCCCATTCCATAAAACTTTTACCATACGGAGAGAGTGTCGATGTGCCAAAGGCGCATCGGTCGGGCATGCACCAATGAATAATGCTTTTTCGATCCCTTACGGTCCACCAGAACTAGGATGCGCCAAAATCACCTCTCCCCCGGCATCTGCAAAACTATAATTTGAGACATAAGACTTCGGGTGCTACCATAACCGCACTAGTGCACTAGATCCCTTAAGAACTCTGCTGTTAAGTGTGCTTGGGCGAGAGTAGTACTGGGATGGGTGACCTCTAGGGAAGTCCTCATGTTGCACCCTTTTTTTTAACCATCCCTCACTCTTTTTTTTTTGGAAGCTCTTTGCCACGACCCATGAACCACTAGCAGTGTTGGCTCGCTACGATCCGATCAAAAAAATCTGCATCGTCGGATCTGTGAATGTGACCATCGGGTATCGTGATGCGGCCGCGCTAGAATAGTAACAACTTTCCGCCTAGGAGTTCATTTCAGTATTGTGACCCCATTCCGAAAAGCTTTTTTTTTTTAGATGGAGTGAGCACCGATGTGCAAAAGGCGCATCAGCCGGGCATGCTCCAATGAATAATGCTTTTTTGATCCCCTACGGTCCAAAAGAATGAGGTGCGCCAAAATCACCTCTCCCTCGGCGTCTGCATAACTATAATTTGAGACCATAAGATTATGGGTGTGACCATACTAGCACCAGTGCATCGGATCCCATTAGAACTTTGAAGTTAAGCGTGCTTGAGCAAGAGTAGCATTGGGATGTGACCTCCTAGGAAGTCCTCGTGTTGCTCCATTTTTTTTAACTATCCCTGTATCTTTTTTTTTGCTGAAGCTCTTAGCCACGAACCACTAACAGTGTTGGCTCTTCGTGACCCGAATGAAGAAATCTGCATCGTGGGACCCGCGAAGGTGATCGTTGAGTCCCGTGATGCGACCGCATAGGAATAGCAACAACGTTTCGCTCAGGAGTCCATTTCAGCATTATGAATTTATTCCGAAAAGCTTTTTCCGAGCCAGAGTGATCGCCGATGTGCCTAAGGAACATCGGCTGGGCATGCGCTAACGAATAACACATTTTCAATCTTGTACAGTCCACTGGAATGAGGATGCGCTAAAATCACCTCTCCCTAGGCATATGCAAAACTATATTTTGAGACCATAAGACTTCGGGTGTGACCATACCCGCACCGGTGCACTGGATCCCATCAGAACTCCGCAGTTAAGCGTGCTTGGGCGAGAGTAGTACTGGGATGGGTTACCTCATGGGAAGTCCTTGTGTTGAACCCTTTTTTATAACCATCTCTCACTCTTTTTTTTTTAGAAGCTCTTCGCCACGGCTTACGAACCACTAGTAGTGTTGGCTCTCCATGACCCGAATGAAGAAATCTTCATCGTGGGACCCGCGAAGGTGATTGTCAGGTCCCGTGATGCGACCGCACAGGAATAGCAACAATGTTTCGCTCAGGAGTCCATTTTTGCATTATGAATTTATTCCGGAAAGCTTTTTAAGAGCCAGAGTGATCGCCGATGTGCCTAAGGCACATCAGCTTGGCATGCGCTAACGAATAACACATTTTCAATCATGTACAGTCCACCGGAATGAGGATGCGCCGAAATTACCTCTCCCTAGGCATTTGCAAAACTATATTTTGAGACCATAAAACTTCGGGTGCGACCATACCCGCACCAGTGCACTATATCGCATCAGAACTCTGCAGTTAAGCGTTCTTGGGCGAGAGTAGTACTGGGATGGGTTACCTCATGGGAAGTCCTCGTGTTGAACCCTTTTTTATAACCATCTCTCGCTCTCTTTTTTGGAAGCTCTTCGCCACGTCTTACGAACCACTAGCAGTCTTGGCTCACAGTGACCTGAGCTAACAAATATGCATTGTGGGACCTGTGAAGGTGACCGTTAGGTCCTGTGATGCGGCCGCACGGGAAAACAATCAACGTTTTGTCAAGGAGTCTGTTTCAGCATTATAGCCCCATTCTGGAAAGTTTTCTCTAAGACAGAGTGAGCACATATGTTCCAAAGCAGCATCGGTTGGGCATGCGGCAACGATTAAGGCATTTTTGAACCCCTACGTTCCACCGAAATGATGATGCACCAAAATCACCTCTCCCCCAGCATCTGCATAACTATAATTCGAGACCATTAGATTATGGGTGCGAACTTACCAATACCAGTGCACCGGATCCCATCAGAACTCCATAGTTAAGTGTTCTTGGGAGAGAGTAGTACTGGGATGGGTGACCTCCTGGGAAGTCCTCGTATTGCACCCTTTTTAATAACCATCCCTCCCTCTTTTTTTTTTGGAAGCTCTTCTCCATGGCCCATAAACCATAAGCAGTGTTGGCTCGTCGCAACCCGAGTGAAGAAATCTGCGTCATAGGACCCGACGATCGCCTTCGTGGGTCGTACAGGAATAGAAAAAACTTTCTGTCCTGGATTCTGTTTCAGCATTATGACCCCATTTCGAAAAGCTTTTTTCGAAACGGAGTGAGCGCCGATATGCTAAAGGCGCATTAGCCGGGCATGCATCGACGAATAAAGCTTTTCGATCCCCTATGCTCTAGCAAAATGAGGATGCGCCAAAATCTCCTCTCCCCCGGCATCTGCATAACTATAGTTTGAGACAATATGACTAGGGGTGTGACCATACCAGCACCAGTGCATCGGATCCCATCAGAACTCCGCAGTTAAGCATGCTTGGGTGAGAGTAGTACTTGGATGGGTGACCTTCAGGGATGTCCTTGGTTTGCACCATTTTTTTATAATCATCCTTCTCTCTCTTTTTTTTTCGGAAGCTCTTCGACACGACACATGAACCACTTACAGTGTTGGCTTATCGCAACCCGAGCGAAGAAATCTGCATCGTGGGATCCACGAAGGCAACCGTCGGGTCCCGTGATGCGGTCTCATGGGAATAGTAACAACTTTCCGCCCAGTAGTCCATTTCAACATTATGAAACCATTTTGAAAAGCATTTTTGAGGGGGAGAGAGCGCCATTAAGATAGAGGCACATCAGTCGGGCATACGCCAACGAATAATGCATTTTCGATCCCCTACATTCTACCAAAATTAGGATGTGCCAAAATCACCTCTCCCCTGGGGTCTGCATAACTATAATTTGACACCATAAGACTAATGATGTGACCAAATTAGAACCAATGCACCGGATCCCATCAGAACTCTGCAGTTAAGTGTGCTTGGGCAAGAGTAGTACTAGGATGGGTGACCTCTTGAGAAGTCCTTATGTTGTACCCTTTTTTATAACCATCACTCTCTCAATTTATTTTTTCGGAAGCTCTTCACCACGGTCAACGAACAACTAGCAGTGTTGGCTCGTGACGAACTGAGCAAAAATCCACATCGTGGGACTCGTAAGGTCGGGTTCCATGATGCAGAGGTACGGGAAAAGCAACAACTTTCTATCTAGGTGTCTATTTCAGCATTATGACCCATTTCAAAAAGCTTTTCTGAGATAGAGTGAGCACCGATGTGCAAGAGGTGCATAGACCAGGCATGCATCGACGAATAATGAATTTTTGATCACCTACGATCCACCATAATGAGGATGGGCCAATATCACCTCTCCATTAGCATCTACATAACTATAATTTGAGACCCTAAGACTATGGATGCGACCATACCAGCACAAGTGCACCGATTCCCATCAGAACACTGCAGTTAAGCGTGCTTAGGTGAGAGTAGTATTTGGATGGGTGACCTCCTAGGAAGTCCTCATGTTTCACTCTTTTTTTAACCATCACGCTCTCTTTTTTTTTTTAGAAGCTCTTCACCACGGCCCACAAACCACTAGCAGTGTTGGCTCGTTGAGACTCGAGAGAAGAAATCTGCATCATGAGACCCGAGAAGGCGACCGTCAGGTCCCGTGATGCGGCGGCATGGAATAGAAATAACTTTTAGCAAGAGTAATATTGGGATGTGACCTCCTAGGAAGTCCTCATGTTGCTCCATTTTTTTAACAATCCTTGCATCTTTTTTTTTTTTTGGAAGCTCCTAACCACGGCCCACAAACCACTAGCAGTGTTGGCTCTTCGTGACCCGAATGAAGAAATCTGCATCGTCGGACCAGCGAAGGTGATCGTCGGGTCCAGTGATGCGACCGCACAGGAAGAGCAACAACGTTTCGCTCAGGAGTCAATTTCAGCATTATGAATTTATTCTGGAAAGCTTTTTCTGAGCCAGAGTGATCGCCATAAGGCACATCGGCTGGGCATGAGCTGACGAATAACACATTTTCAATCTTGTACAGTCCATTGGAATGAGGATGTGCCAAAATCACCTCTCCCTAGGCATCTACAAAACTATATTTTGAGACCATAAGACTTCAGATGCGACCATACCCGCACCAGTGCACTGGATCCCATCAGAACTCCGCAGTTAAGCGTGCTTGGGTGAGAGTAGTACTGGGATGGGTTACCTCATGGGAATTCCTTATGTTGCACCCATTTTTATAACCATCTCTTGCTCTTTTTTTTTAGAAGCTCTTCGCCATGGCCTACGAACCACTAGTAGTGTTGGCTCTCCATGACCCGAATGAAGAAATCTTCATCGTGGGACCCGCGAAGGTGATCGTCGGGTCCCGTGATGCGACCACTCAGAAATAGAAACAATGTTTTGCTCAGGAGTCTATTTTAGCATTATGAATTTATTCCGGAAAGCTTTTTCAGAGCGAGAGTGATCGTCGATGTGCCTAAGGCACATCGGGTGGGAATGCGCTGATGAATAACACATTTTCAATCATGTACAGTCCACAAGAATGAGGATGTGCCAAAATCACCTCTCCTTAGGCATCTGCAAAACTATATTTTGAGACCATAAGACTTCGGGTGTCACCATACCCGCACTGGTGCACTGGATCCCATCAGAACTCCGCAGTTAAGCGTGCTTGGGCGAGAGTAGTACTGGGATGGATTACCTCATGGGAAGTCCTCGTATTGCACCATTTTTTATAACCATCTCTCGCTCTTTTTTTTAGAAGCTCTTCTCCACGGCTTACGAACCACTAGCAGTCTTGGCTCACGGTGACCTGAGCGAACAAATCTGCATTCTGGGACCCGTGAAGGTGACCGTTAGGTCCTGTGATGCGGCCGCACGGGAAAACAAACAACTTTTTGTCAAGGAGTCTGTTTCAACATTATAACACCATTCTGGAAAGCTTTCTCCAAGACAGAGTGAGCACATATATGCCAAAGCAGCATCGGCTGGGCATGCACCAACGATTAAGGCATTTTTGATCCCCTACAGTCCACCGAAATGATGATGCACCAAAATCACCTCTCCCCCAGCATCTTCATAACTATAATTCGAGACAATTAGACTATGGGTGCGACCATACCAATACCAGTGCACCATATCCCATCAGGACTCCATAGTTAAGTGTGCTTGGGCGAGAGTAGTACTGGGATGGGTGACCTCCTGGGAAGTCCTCGTATTGCACCCTTTTTAATAACCATCCATCCCTCTTTTTTTTTGGAAGCTCTTCTCCATGGCCCAGGAACCACAAGCAGTGTTGGCTCGCCACAACCCAAGTGAAGAAATCTGCATCGTGGGAACCACGAAGGCGATCATCGGGTCCCATGACGTGGCCGCACAGGAATAGCAAAAATTTTCTGTCCTGGAGTCTGTTTCAGCATTATGACCCCATTCTGAAAAGCTTTTTTCAAAATGGAGTGAGCGCTGATATGCTAAAGGCGCATTAGCCCGGCATGCATCGACGAATAAAGCTTTTCGATCCCCTATTGTCTAGCAAAATGAGGATGTGCCAAAATCACCTCACCCCCGACGTCTGCATAACTATAGTTTAAGACCATATGACTATGGGTGTGACCATACCAGCACCAGGGCATCGGATCCCATCAAAACTCTGCAGTTAAGCATGCTTGGGTGAGAGTAGTACTTCGATGGGTGACCTCCTAGGATGTCCTTGGGTTGCACCATTTTTTATAACCATCCTTCTATCTCTTTTTTTTTTTCGGAAGCTCTTCGACACGGCCCATGAACCACTTACAGTGTTGGCTCATCGCAACCCGAGCAAAGAAATCTGCATCGTGGGATCCACGAAGGCAACCGTCGGGTCCCGTGATGCGGTCGCATGGGAATAGTAACAACTTTCCGCCCAGTAGTCCATTTCAGCATTATGACACCATTCCAAAAAGCTTTTTTTGAGGGGGAGAGAGCGTTGATGTGATAGAGGCACATCAGTCAGGCATACGCAAATGAATAATGCATTTTCGATCCCCTACATTCCACCAAAAT